TACCACCACTGATCCCACAGAAATACAAACTACCATCAGAGAATACTATAAACACCTCTATGCAAATAAACTAGAAAATCTAGAAGAAATGGATAAATTCCTGGACACATACACCCTCCCAAGACTAAATCTAGAAATGGTTTTTTAAGAGAGACAGAAAATAACAGCAAGGAGCCAGAAAGGAAAATGAATACATAATAAAGTGCCAATCTTTTTCATTCAACAATAAAGAAAATAGGTGGTAGAGAACCTCCACTATGCAAAGTAGTGCATCTCTATGTCTCACTAAACTGTAGGTTCTTAAAGCCAAGTACCATATCTCATTCTACTTTGCATTATCCCAATACTTAGCCCAGCACCCTACACATACGCAGCAAATATTTGTTGAATTATTTTAGTAAGACTTATTGATACTTAAGTAATCGTAACATAGGTGAAATGTCATGATTAATAATTCAAAAGGCTAGAAATATTCCAAAGTTTAGAGGCTGAAATAATTACATATATTTAAGTAAAAAATACTGGCATCTATTTAAAAAGTCCAAAATTGTTACCTGTTGCTCAGCCTTGATTTCAGGAACCTTTACTTCAGGCATCTTTATTTCAGTAGCATTTAAGTCAGATACATCAACTGCTTCATTAACATCTGTTATTGGACTTAATGTATCCTCAGAAATTTCAACATTATCTTCATTATACAAGTGACGAATCACCACAGCTTTCTTCTGCATAGAGAAAAATATGTAAGAAACACTTCAATGTTTTCCTCCCACAATTATTCGTTTTTAAGTTCAGGGGTACATGTGCAGGTTTGTTACACAAGTAAATGTGTCATGGGAATTTGATGTGCAGATTATTTCATCACCCAGGTATTAAGCCTAGTACCCACTGGTTATTTTTCCTGAACCTCCTCCTACCCTCCACCCTCTGAAAGGCTCCAATGTGTGTTGTTTCCCTCTATGTGTCCATGGGTTCTCCATCATTTAGCTCCCACTTACAAGTGAGAGCAAGTGGTATTTGGTTTTCTGTTTCTGCATTAGTATGCTAAGGATAAGGGCCTCCAGCTCCATCCATGTCCCTGCAAAGGACATGATCCCATTATTTTTTATGGCTACAGAGTATTCCATAGTGTATATGTATCACATCTTCTTTATCTGCTCTATGATTGGTGGGCATTTAGGTTGATTCCATGTCTTTCTTATTGTGAATAGTGCTGCAATGAACATATGTATGCATGTGTCTTTACAACAGAACAATACATATTCCCTTAAGTATATACCAAGTAATGGGACTGTTGGGTCAAATGGTATTTCTGTCTTTAGGTCTTCGAGGAATTGCCACATTGTCTTCCACAGTGGTTGAACTAACTTACACTCCCACCAACCGTGTATAAGCATTCCCTTTTTTCCCACAACCTCATCAGCATCTGTTATTTTTTGACTTTTTAATAATAGTCATTCTGAGAAGCATGAGATGGTATCTCATTGTGGTTATGATTTGCATTTTTCTAATAATCAATGATGATGTTTTTTTTTTTCATATGATTATTGGCTGCATGTATGCCTTCTTTTGAAAAGTAGATGTTCATATCCTTTGTCCACTTTTTAATTAGATTGTTTTTTTCTTGTAAATTTAAGTTCTTTATATATGCCAGATATTAGGTCTTTGTCAGATATAAGTTTGCAAAAATTTTCTCTCACTCTGGAGGGTGTCTGTTTACTTTGCTGATAGTTTCTTTTGCAGTGTAGAAGCTCTTTAGTTCAATTAGATCCCATTTGGCAATTTTTGCTTTTGTTGGAATTGCCTTTGGCGTCTTTGTCATGAAATCATTGCCCACGCCTATGTCCTGAATGGTACTGCCTGGGTTGTCTTCCAGGGTTTATAGTTTTGGGTTTTACATTTAAGTCTTTAATTCATCTTGAGTTGATTTTTGTATATGGTGTAAGGAAAGGGTCTAGTTTCAATCTTCTGCATATGGCCACCCAGTTATCACAGCACCATTTACTGACTAGGGAATCCTTTCACCATTGCTTCATCAGGTTTGTTGAAGATCAGATAGTTGCAGATGTGTGGTCTTATTTCTGGGTTCTCTATTCTCTTCCATTTGTCTATGTATCTGTTCTGGTACTAGTACCATGAGGTTTTGGTTACTGTAGCCCTGTAATACAGTTTGAAGTTGGGTAGCATGATCCCTCCACCTTTGTTCTTTCTCCTTAGGATTGCCTTTGCTATTTGGGTCTTTTTTGGTTTCATATAAATTTTAAAGTAGTTTTCTGTAGTTCTCTGAAGAATGTCAACGGTAGTTTAAGGGGAGCAGCATTGAATCTACAAATTGCTTTGGGCAGTATGGTCATTTTAACAATATTGATTCTTCCCATCTGTGAGCATGGAATGTTTTTCCATTTGTTTGTGTCTCTGATTTCTCTGAGCAATAGTTTTCTCTGATTTCCATTTGTTTGTGTCTCTGAAATCTCTGATTTCTCTGAGCAATAGTTTGTAGTTTTTCTTGTAGTGACCTTTTGCCTCCCTTGTTAGCTAGATTCCTAGGTATTTTATTCTTTTTGTGGCAATTTTGAATGGGAGTTTGCTTGTGATTTGGTTCTCAGCTTGACTGTTGTTGGTGTATAAGAATGCTAGCAAATTTTGCACATTGATTTTGTATCTCAAGATTTTGCTGAAGTTGCTTATCAGCTTAAGAAGTTTTTGGGCTGAGAAGATCCTCCTACAATTATTTTAAACATACACACAGTAATTTTCCAAAAGGAACACCAACAGTTAAAGAATAAAAAAAAGTTTAAATTATCACATATAATGTATATATCAAAATATTACCATTACTGGTATTACCAATAATTTATGTGTGATGATAAAATTGGGGTTATGACTTTTAAAACAATTCTTACATTTTAGGACAAGCACTGAAATATTTATTAAATTATGTCTGAGATTTGTTTTAAAATAAAGACAAAACAAGATGAGCAAAGAGTTGATAAACTGTTGAAACTGGATGATGGGTATGTTTGTAAATGTTTGAAATGTTCCATAATACAAAGTTATTTTTAAAAAAGATTGCCGAATAATTCACTTCAAATAATCAAAATAGAGCCTGGCTCTATGAGTACGGCTCATTACAATTTTTCTATTAAACAAACTGCAATTTATTAGACCTTCAGCTAACAATTCAAACCTAATAATGACAATGAAAAAGTCCTGACAAAAAAAGCATTAGGTCACGTTATGCATTTACCTAGAAATCCTCTACCTGCTTCCTATTCTACAGTTTGCATACACACTACAAAAACATATGTGATTCAGAAGCACAAACAGTATACTATATAAGGCACCGGGAGAGGAGACAATTTGCTTTAATATTGACTCAACTTTTGCTTGTAAACAAAGAAATGTACTTGTAGACTCTTTTCTAAATCTGAGAACTTTTAATACTTATTCGAATTTCTGATAAAGATCTGATACAAATTTTAATAGATAAAGAAAACTGTGCTTTAAGAAAATTAAAAATAAGTCTAATGTTTTGAAGTTCACATTTTTCTTGGCTAGGACAATTTAGACTGTCCCCTCAACTCTCATACTGAAATAGAAGATTGAAAAGTACGTTATATCAACTAATATTTAATAAGTACTCACAGTGTACCTAATCCTGTGCTAAGCAAAATGAAGGCACGAAAAATCAGTATTAAAAAAATCCCTGTTTATATATGTTCCTTCTAGTTGGGGAAGAATACAAGATATGTCATTTAACAGTTAGAAAATAATAAATAAAACTAACAAGAGTTAGACGAGTTGGAGATGCAAGTGTACAAAAACTACATGCATTTATTCAAAAATCTCAGCTCTGTATCATTCTTTATATTGTCCTCATTACCTAGAGCAAAACAGGCACATTAAAAAGCAGTGGCATAAGAACCTTTTCTTATAATAAAATTTCAGTTTTTTAAGGTACAAAGGAATAAATATATATATTTTTTGAGATGGAGTCTCGCTCTGTCACCCAGGCTGGACTGCTGTAGTACGATCTTGGCTCACTGGAACCTCCGCCTCCAGGGTTCAAGTGATTCTCCTGCCTCAGCCTCTTGCGTAGCTGGGGTTACAGGCACCTGTCACCACGCCCAGCTAATTTTTGTAATTTTAGTAGAAACGGGGTTTTGCCATGTTGGCCAGGCTGGTCTCGAACTCCTGACCTTAGGTGATCCACCCGCCTTGGCCTCCCAAAGTGCTGGGATTACAGGAGTGAGCTACTGCACCAGGCCCATGTATAAATTTTTAAAATAGATACTGTTTACATAACTCATCTGTTTTGGATTAGGGCAGAAATAATACTCTAGATTATACTTCAGTCAGAAAGTATTCACATCCTTTACTTAATTACACCATTGATAATTCATCTGATATTCTATCATTCAATCAGAAAGAGTTTTCTCCAGATGGAAAACAGCTGAAAATATAATATAAAACAATATTTTAGCTTAAATCTCCCTTTGTGATAGATACACTGGAGCTCTAAATGCGTTAGATTCAATTTGCCACAGCTGCTCAAAGCAGATAACGGCAGAAAAATTATCTTTCAAGAAAAAGAACATATTCAAAATATTAACTGAAAACCAGTTAATACGTATAGGGACTACCAATCATTGGATAATGCATACTTGGTTACAGAAATATAATGTACATAAATGAATCATTATAAGCTATCACTACTGCTAATGTAGGCTCTTCATATGTTCCCATGTTTTAGGAAGACCAGAACAAAATTAAGAGCAAATGTAGACAACTGCATAAGATATCTTCCTAAATCACTACTCTTCTGTTTAGGAAATCAGGCAGAATTAGAAATTAGAAATACAAAGAGAACACCTATTTAATTTTATATTACTATCCTACTGTTATAACTTCAGGAATACTGCCCAAAAACATTTGGCATCCACTGTTAAAAATCCCTACACTCCAATATCTAACTAGAATGTTTCATCAGGTGCCAATCAGAAAAGTGAAAACTGTATATTGGATTAATTAGATAACTCTTAAACAATATGATATTTTCTTTGTGGTTGCATACCTTTCCTGAAGTCACAAATCTGCCACTGGTATCAACGCCAACAGCCTCTGCAGATATTTTCTCATTGCTCAAAGAAGGTTCTGACTTGCCAGAACTGATTTTCTTTCTTTGTTGTGATGGAATCTAAAAAAAAAGGTATCAGTCAAAATAACAAATTTTGTGTGACAGCATAATTATATATTAAAATTCCATTAACATTTAAATTTTCATATATGAAATATAACTGACAAATAATGAGACTATAATGAGACTACATGACTTTTAAAAACTAAGAAATAAAGAAAATGCATTATGTTTGAACTATTAGTTTAACACTAGGAGTTCCCAGTCACAGGTGTATAAAACAAGAGAGTACTATTTAAAATAAACATCAAGCTTTATAAGGTTACTCAAATCTTTGAATAATACGGTAATTACACTATGAAATAATCTGCTGTCTAGGGTACTGATTTTATGTGTTAAAATACTGAGCCATCTATTAATATCATACATCAGCATTAAAATCTATTCAAAAATTACCTTCTGAAGACTACTTAATTCCTTGTGCTTTTTCATCACACAATTCAAAATATCACAAACAATTTGGATTTTCCATTCTGCAAACCCACATTGGATAAACTGCTTTTTTGTCAAAATTGGTTTATAATTAAATTGATCACGAAGGAGCTGCAGAGGAAACAGACTCTTGTAATAATTGAGAGCAATTTATTTCTAAAATTCCAAATGATAATGCCCACCTGGTCAGGGCAATAATGGCCACCTTTGAGAGGACAAGGAAAACCAAGCCATTAACTAAAGAGTACTAAAGTAATTTATAGGGCTGGTGTAAGTCACGATCCAGTAAGACAGGTATCAGGTGGAAAACAGGTAGCAAAGGATATGCTGGAGAACAGATGGCTGTCCAGAGAGATGGAAAAATATAGTCAATCAACAAAAAGTTTAAATATCTTCATAGACATTAGAAAAACTCCTTAGTTCACCAGAAGACCACACCAGAATCAGAAACTATAGTTCTATTTGTTTATAACTCTTCCACTATGTGATTTCTGGATAAGTCAGTGGGCCTTTTGGTCTCAAGTTTTCATTTGTAAAATGAAAAAAAAAAAACCACTAGATCAGTAGTTTCCTAAATCTACTCTGTGGAGCTCTAGAATTTCTTAAAAGTGCCTCTTAGCTTCCATGGATGTTTTCTGGGATGAAAAGCAAGAAAGAGAAAGATTAAACAGAGACTACATATAAAAACTCCCATTTCACTGACTGCAACTCTGCTTTTTTAAAAAGACTATTTGAGGTTGGGTGCAGTGGCTCGCGCCTGTAATCCCAGCACTTTGGGAGGCCACAGTGGGCAGAGCACAAGGTCAGGAGATTGAGACCATCCTGGCCAACATGGTGAAACCCAGTCTTTACTAAAGTACAAAAAATTAGCCAGGTGTGGCAGTGCACACCTGTAGTCCCAGCTACTCAGGAGGCTGAGGCAGGGGAATTGCTTGAACCCAGGAGGTGGAGCTTGCAGTGAGCCTAGATCGTGACACTGTACTCCAGCTTGGCAACAGAGCAAGACTCCATCTCAAAAAGAAAAAAAGACTACATTTGATAAGTGGGTTTTATCATTAAAAACTAACTTTAATACAAACCACAGTACTTAAGCAAAAATTAATGATAAAAGCAGGGTTTTAAAAAAAATCAAATACAAGATGAAATTCAATATACACATAGTACAAGTATAAATACTAGGGTAGATACAATATAAGACATGCTCTCAGACCTCAAAGAATATATTGGTTAAAAAAAAAAAGAATATGTCAGTAATAGTTCCCTCTTACAAACAACTAAATTAACATATAATTATAAAAAACTATACACTTTATTGAATATAATTACATTATTCCCTAATTTCTGCCAGTATACCAAATTTTACTAAAATTTGATTAAAAAGGGCAAACAATAGCCAACAACAAATAACTACCAGTTGCTGTATTTATTAGAATAGATAACATTCAAAAAGCAAACATGAATTGCATTTTGATTTCAATAGGGACTACATTTAAATGAGATAAATACAAATGAAAATATCCTGTCAACTGTATATGCTGCATATATTTAAGAAGTTATGACTAAAACATTAATTTTTTAAGATCATTCAATAATTATTGTTTCATAAACTCAAAATACCTTATAGACAGCATCTATAAAGCGCAAGTCATTTTTTGCTATGAGCTCTACATTGGATTCCATTATAAGTTCTGTTACATAAGGTGAGTATGAGGTAAAAGAATAGCTGATGATGGGTAAAGATGCTGCCGGGTCTCCCTTTATCAAACTGTTAGGAAAAAAAGAAAAATATTCTTAATAAGCATTTAATAAGCATAATTTCATAAAGTTGGATAATCAAGAAAATACTAGAAATGTTTATAATAATTTAAAACTTAACACTACAGCTATAATAATTAGGTGATACATGAGACCTTCTAGATTCCATTCCCCATTCTAAACCAGTCTAACCAGACTACTATGAAATACTACTGTTCATCTGCTCAAAAAACTTACTCTAGGTCTCCAGTACCAACTATTTACCATTGATTTTCCATAGCTTAGTCTTATGTGATCTACTCCATTTTCTACTACTAATAAAAGCAATGTACCATCTTACAATATTGAAGTACACTTTATGGTTTTGCAAACACTTGTTCTATTACCTCCTTTGCTCTCTACCACAAACTTCCAAAGGTAAAGATTATGAATTCTAAGTTACAGATGAGGAAGATGGGGTGGGAAAGAGCATGAACTGTGGCTTGGCTGAGCAGTCTATTACTTTTCACTTACTGCTCGTTCTAAATCTTACATTATTACCTATGCTAATTCCTCCAGTCTAGAAAGGTATCCCACTCTTCTTTGCTTATCCAATTGTTATTTATTTTTTATGCATTATTCATCAAATCTCAAGCTTCCCATGAAGCTTTCAACTTTCTGATCTATACTGATCTCTCCGAGAAAGACTCCCAGGCTACTCAGTATTTGCTGTGTCACTATCTGTCTGGTAGTGTTTCCTGTCTTCTTATCTTCTCAATGTGAAGTACCTTCACCGATTTTCCCACAACAAAGCACAGGAGATATTTGTTCAATTTGCCAGTTACATTTCTTCAATTGTAGTATTTTGTACTTATATAAAACATAAATGTTTTCCAAATAATTCAAGATGTTCACATAAATATCCCCATCTCCACCCAAATTTTTAGTAACACAGAGAACAAATACATGATGATAACACTGCATTTTGTTTTTCTGGACAAGTATGAGTTGTTTCTTTTATGTTTCTTTAAAATACTATAATATTTCACCTAATCAGAAAACTGCTCTGGCAACCTTGTCTATCTGAAACACAGTCCAAAAACAGGAAGTGAAAAAAAATACCTTTGAACAGCAAAATCTGTCCATTTTATGCAAACTATACTTAGATGACAGCCAGGCCCATATTTAACACTTCTTATGTTAAACAATTTCAAAAACCTTGGTTGTCTAGTTCCTAAGGACTTAGCATATTAGAAACAGTAAGAAAAACAGATCTTAGAAACTGGCATACCAACACAAAAAACAGCAAGTGTCCAGAAAACATTACAAATGTGAAAAAGTAGAAAAAAGAATCAAAATGAGGGGCGTGTTGTGTGTGTACTTACATGTGTGTGGCAGGGAGACTAGCAATCTGAGTGTCTCCGTGGAAGAAGCAAGTAGCATTCCAAATCTCAATAGACCCTGCAGATTTCAGTATGTTATACAATAATCTAAAAATTATTGCTCTTAAGGATGCTTTTGGATAATAAGAAAATTAAATGTTTAAAACTGTATTTAGAAAACAAGATAATATTGGTATATTTTAGAATTATTCCTGTTTAAAATGTCTTTTAAAATGTTGACGCTTAAAGTGGCAAGGGGAAAACTTGGCTACTCAAACTGGTTAAACCCCTGCCAGTTCTGGATGGTCGGGATTTTTATGTTTTGAGGAATGAAGATGATTCTTACATACGTGGATTACATCTGTTTCATATCTTCTGCCACTCACATATAATGCCTATAGTAACAGCAATTAGATCTAACTTTCTCCTTACTCTCCTCTCTATCCTTTCACTTTCAGTCTTCTCTTGACAGCCCCTACCTCTCCCTAGTGTAACCTCAAGAGTTATTAGAATATCCATTCTTATATGGATATCCATTCTCATATGTAAAGCCCATTACTGAAGGATTCTACTTAGTAGTTGGTTTAACCATGTTTCACTCTATTCTTGAACATCTAACTTGGACTTGTCCCTGGACACTCATTCATTCAATAAATGTCTAATCAACTCCTAATATGTGCCATGCATAATTCTAGATGGGAGGATTCAACAGTGAAAACAAAAACCAAACTCCAAGACTTCAGCTTACATTCTAGTAAGCTGAAGGGAAACATTTAACCAATCCATCAATTAATCAATGATAAAAGGTTAAGGGTAAGTGTTATGAAGAAATAAAAGTGTGAAGGGATACAGAATGACTGCAGTACCATATTAGATAGGCATGAATATAGGAAAATGTATGTTGCCATATTCTAAAAACGTTAAGTCATAGTTGCAAAATGGGAGCTAAAGTGAAAGGTTCAAAGTGGGGTCTGTTAAATAGGAAAGCTTAAGAGCAATCTTCAGGTTGCCATACACAAAAAAATCTACTAACTAGAATATTCCGTATGAAAGGAACACTTGCCTTAGATGTATAAAATTTTTCCTCCATAAAAGAATAAACAAATAAATGACAAAAAAAGACTGACAAGAAATGGCAACAATCTCTTCTTATTCTGGATATATTTAACTGTAAGAAATATCATCCAACTGAAAGTGAGAGAGTGGTAGATTATACAATTAATGAAACCTATTATACTTCTATGAGTTTAAAAGTTGTACAGAGATTATACCTTACACAGATAAACACTGTGCTTCTAAACAGTTTTAAATCTTTTAAGTTGGAATTCTTCATTTGTTCATACTCAGAAATAAACTCCTATAATTCCCTGTTTTATCAAATATTTTAATCATTTCAAGGTAGATTTAAATAGGATCCAGGTAAAATCTGATTTTTCTTAGGTAGTCCCCCATGTTAAATATTATCTCAAATCACTAGCAAGAAAAATACAATTAAGTTTGATATTACAGCTTACCCTACACAGTCCACCTCTTCAGGATAATTTAGCAAGCGGAGCACCTGTTCTAGGTTCCGTAAGCTTCTTTTTAAGTCACCTGTTGCCATTATGTAACATCGGATTCAGCTCTAACTCTTGAAATAGTCTAATTTTTCACCTAAAAACAGAAAACCATGAAATATTGGTTAAGTCTCTGTATTTCTGAAGCTTCTTGATTCTATTTGGTTCATATCTTACCCTACCTCTTTTTCCCCTATCTTCTTCTCTACTATTCAAGGTCTACTTTGTAACTACTGTAAGTTCCTGAAAATAGGGTGTCTCCCCTACCCTCCTACAAGTTTTCCTTCCAAAAAGTAAGTGCTTTATATTCCTCTTATTATAAGTATCTTATAAGACACTTGCCCAAATAGCTTTTTTTTTTTTAAGCATAAAGCACCGTTTAAGACACATCAACTTGGAATAACATCCATCAGTGACTCTTTTGGATGCTTATAGAGGCTACATAACACAATCAATAAAAAATGGAGACAAATACATTCAGCACAGATTTAATCAGAGTCACAGAGCTCTGATCTCACACAGTTGCCAAAAAGATACCTTTCCTAAAAACTAAAAATACATTTTAAAAATGCAGGGTTCACTTGGATAAATATGACAGATTAAATGCATGTTACCTTCCTTTCCATTTTCTAAAGACCACTAAAATGAAAGTAAATAATTTAAAATCACATATACCCACCAGGACAAAAAGAACTTCAGGAGATTTCACATGACAAAACAGGTATCAACAAAATTTTGGAAAATGAAAAGCAAATGAATAAGAGACAACCAACCTAGCAGAGCAGAGACAGGCCAATCCCATCTGCCTATTTAGGAGGAAACCAACTGAAGCAAGATAGGTTCACAAATCAGGTGCACTTGATGCTTCTGAAAGACAAAGGGGGCTGAAATAAGAATGATTATTTGAAAGTCTACATAAGAAGCAGCCTACCCTAGAATTTATTTTCCCTCCTGTCTCCTATCCCTACACACATAACTTGCTCAGCAAGGCAACTATCTCTCACCTTCCCTGGAAAGAGAAAAGAGCTTTACATTCTAAAGAAATTGAATCGAAGAGGCACCAAATTTGGAAACATCAGGCAAGGCAAACAATATGGAATGAAATGTTCGAAGGGAGAAAGAAGTATTAATGAACACACACACACACACAGAGTAATAAAGTTTCTTCCTATATCTCGGCCACAAGAAGCTGTGAGACTTATATCCTCCGTGACAACAGACTATCAAGTTCTATGCTAGAGAAGGTGGATGGACCTAGAGAAAAAGTATCATCACATTTCTGACATTTGAAGAAAACCCCCATTGAAAAGGGCAGGGTCTTGCCCAATAAACCTGTAGCAAACTCACTCATTGATAAGTCCTAGCCAGGCACCTTTTTTTCTTAGATTCTCATGTTTAAAACTGAATATATGCCCAAAGGTCAATAACTATTAGAGGGAAGCTTTCAGTATGAAAAGTATATATAAATACCTTTAACAAAATAAGCAGAGAAGAAAAATTGGTGGAAATAGAGATAATACAGAGAAAAAAATTCAAAATGAAGCTTTCCATTCTCAATGATGAGATTAGAAAAAAAAATTGAAACCTAAAACAAGAATAGAAGGATATAAAAAATATTAAGCTTGTGAGAATGCAAAATGAGGCAGAGATTGTTAAAGTGGACCAAAAATAAGATCTAACTACATGTTGTCTGTAAGAAATCCATTTCGTTTATAAGATTAAAAGTAAATGGATAGGGAAAAATATATCATGTTAATATTAATTAAAAGAAAGCAAGAACAGTTATATTAATCTCAGACAGCAGACTTTATAATAAGGAAAGTTATTAGGGATAAAGGGGCATTACATAAAGATAAACGACTTAATTCTCCCAAAAATATAACAATCTTTAATATATATGGACCTGACAACACAATGTCAAGATATATGAAACAAAAACTGACAGAACCACAAGGAGAAATATACAAACCCCTATTTTAGTTGGAGACTTCAACACTCCTCTATCAGAGATAGATCCAGCAGGCAAAAAATAAAATAAAATAATAATAATAATAATAAAGTCAGTAAGGACAAACAATATCATCTATCAACTGGATATAACGAATATTTATAGACTACTTCATCAAACAACAATAGAATACATATTCTTCTCAATTTCACATGGAACATCCAAGATAGACTACCTTTGTGGTCATAAGGCATATCTTATCACATTTTTAAAAAGTAGAAGTCATACAATGTCTGCTTTTAGATCACAACGAATTTAAATAGAAATCAACAATAGAATTTAAAATGATGGCAAAAATAAAAATTTAAATAAGACAAGTTTGAGGAGATAATCATAGTTCCACATTGGACGAAAAGATACAAAAGTGGAATAGAAATTATAAGAAAAGTAGAGGACCAAACCAAAAGGTTCAACATCTCATGAACAAGAGAAAATGAGGGAGGAAATTGTGAAATAATACAAAAACACCTCTCAAGACAGAATGTCATGATTTTCTAGGTTGAAAGAACACAATGAGTGATCAACACAAGAAGTGAAACAAAACTCACAGCAAGATATGTCACTGTGACATTTCATAACATAAAAGAAAAGCTTTGTAAAACATCCAACAAGGCAAGAAAAGATCACATACGAAGAATATCAAAATAGCATCAAATTTTCAATAGCAATGTTAGAAGCTAAAGGATAAAGCAACATTATCTTCAAAATCCTGAGAGGAATTACTTATAGTCTTGAATTCTACACTCAATCAAGGTATCAAATATCACACCCAGCCATGTACTCTAGGTATGCAGGGCCTTAGGACAACATTCTAAAAATCAATGTAAGCCATATAAGCAGGTCAAAGAAGGCAAATCATGTATTATCAATGGATGAAGAAAAAGTACTTGAAAAAAATCTAACACCCACCCATAATAAAAACTCTCAGCAAACTAGGAATAGAGGGAAACTTTCTCAACTTAAATTGGGAAAAATACCTAGAATTCTGAAACAAACAATACAATTAAAAAATAGGCAAAAGATGTTAACAGATATTTCAGTAAAGAGGACATATGGATTGTAAATAATATGAAAAGTGGCTCAAAATCATTTATCATTAGAGATTTGCAAATTAAACCAAAATACCACTACACGCCTATTAGAATGACCATAAAGTCTACAAAAAAACCAACAGCTAACACCACACTTAAGGCTGAGAAACTGTATACTTCGCCCAAAGACTGCGAATAACACAAGGATGTCCTATCTCACCACTCCTATTCAACAGTGTTCCAGAAGTCCTAGCTAGTGAAATGAGGCAAGCAAAGGAAATCAAATACCTTAGGAAGAAAGGAATAAAGTGGTCTTCATTTGCAAAAGACATGACTGTTTATGTAGGAAACGCTACAGAATCAACAAAATCCCCTAGAACTAAAAAGTGAGTATAGCAAAGTCATATAAGGTTAATACACAAAAGTCAAATGTTTCCCTATATATTGGCAATAAATGATTAGAATGAAGTACAAAACTAAAAACACCATTATCATAGCACAAAAAACACTTTTAAGTCTAAAAAAATATGTACATGATCTGTATGTCACAAACTACAATACTATGAAAGAAATCAAAGCAGGTTTTAGCTAGCAGAGGATAGTGGAACAGGACCTCCCCAGCCCCTGTCCTTCACAGAAGCACCAATTTAGCAACCATCTGTGTATAAAAGTGCCCTGAAGGGTCCAAGTAGGAGGCTGTGACATCCTTCTGGAGCCCAAGACTGATAGAAGCCATTTTGAGAAGGCAGAATCGTGCCCCGGTAGCTGGCATGTGACTATAGATCTGGCTCCAAACCCAGCAGCAGCCTTATCAGCATGTGGGCTTCAACCCACCTGTCCAAGGTCTCAAAGGAAGACTTGTTTGTCTGGGAACCCAGAAGGAACCACACCCACCCAAGCCCCAGTAATAGGCCCACAATCTGCAGACCTGATTTTGAACGTGTAAGCAGACCCACAACCTGGCTCCACCTAAGTGACCGTGGTTTAGAAGTCAGTCTCATCAAGGGAGCCAGCAGGAGAAGATCTTTATCTACTGAAATCACTCTGTGAAGTACAGAAGTGGTAACTGCTCCTTCAAATATACAGACACCAGTGAAAGACTCAAAGGATTATGAGTAAATATAACATGCCAAAGGAAACCAATAAGGTTACAGAAACTGACTATAGCAAGATGAAGATCCATGAACTGCTTGACGAAGAATTCAAAATAATCATCTTAAAGTTCAGTGAGCTACAAAAACAAACAAACAAACAAACAAACCCAGATAGAAAATGAAATAAAATCAGGAAAACAATACATGAACAAAATTTTGTTCAATAAAGGAGAAGCATAAAAAAGAACCAAACAGAAATCCTAGAGCTGAATGATACAATGACTGAACTAAAAAATTCAATAGAAGGCTTCAACAACAGACTCAATCAACCAAAAGAAAGAATCAGCAAACTGGAACACCAGTCATATGAAATTATGCAATTAGAGGAAGAAATAAAAAAAGAATAAAAAGTGAAATGAAGTAATACTACAGGACTTATGGTACACCACTAAGTAACTTAATAAAGACATTATAAAAGTTCCAGAAGGCAAAGAGAGAGAGAGAGAGGGGGGCAGAAAGCACATTTAGATTATGGCTGAAAACTTCCCAAATCTAGGGATGAAAATGAACATCCAGACTCACGAATCCCAAAAGTTCCCAAATAGGTTGAAGCCAAAGAGGTCTGCACCAATACACACTATAATGAATTTGTCAAAATTCAAAGACAGAAAAAAAATTTTGATAGCAACGACAGAAAAGTAACTTATTTCATATAATGGAGCCCCCATACAGGTATTGGTGAATTTCCCAGCAGAACACTTGCAGGCCAGGAGAGAGTGGAATGACATATTCAACATACTGAAAGTAAAAAAAGAAACCTGACAACCAAAAATAAATACCTGAAAAAACTGTCCTTCAACAATGAAGGAAATAGCCATGAGTGGTGGCTCACACCTGTAACTGCAGCACTTGAGGAGGCTGAGGCAGGCAGATTGCTTGAGCTCAGGAGTTCGAGACCACCCTGGGAAACATGGTGAAATCCTTTCTCTACAAAAAATACAAAAATTAGCCAGTCATGGTGGTGTATGCCTCTAGTCCCAGCTACTTGGGAGGCTGTGGTGGGAGGCTGGCTTGAGCCCAGGAGGTTGAGGTGAGCTGAGATCATGCCACTGCACTCCAGCCTGTGCAACAGAGCCAGACCTGAAAAAAAAAAAAAAAAAAAAAAAAAGAAAGAAAGAAAAGAAAAGGAAAGAAAAAGAAAAAAGAATAAAGAAAACATAAAAACTTTCTCAGATTAAAAAACTCAGGGAGTTTGTCACTTTCAGACATGCTCTAACAAGAAATGCTAACAGGAGTTCTTCAAGTAAACCGAAGATACTAAACCAACAGTATGAAAGCAGATGAAAGTATACATCTCACTGCTAAAAGTAAACATGAAAACAAACACAGAACATTGCAGTACTGAAATGTGTGGCACATAAATCTCATTGAACACTAGTATATAAATTAAAAGACACAAATAGTATGAATAACTATAACAACCACAGAAATTTGTTAATTGAAACAATACAGAAAGAAGTAAAATCTGAAATCAATTACATATATTGGTGAGGAAGAGTGGAGAGGAATGTAGAGATTCTGAATGTGAATGAAGTTAAGTTGTTACTAGTTTTAAAAAGCCTGCTATAACTACATAATATTTGATGCAAACCCCATGGTAACCAAAATAAAAAGTAGTAAATCAACAAAAAAGAGAAAAAAGAAATCAAAGCATTTTACTACAATCATCAAATC